CCTTAATTTAAATGATCATGTTAAAATTTTAAAAATTTATATTATGTAGCAGAAATATTGCAGTTTTTTCAAACATTTGCAAAACAGAAGTTTCTAAATACTTTATTCAACTTTTTGGCCAAATGATACATTAAACAATGGATTTTCTTAAGATAATTTTTAAAAAATTGAATACTATAGTATAAGATGCACCAATATTTATACAAAATAAAAACCAAACATTAATTTTTTTTTACTTTATATGAAGTCATGGACTTTTATTTTCAAGGAAAAATAACTTATTACATTAATGTTTCTGGTATTGGTTTCTGATAATATGATATATGCACTAGTAAATATCATATTATTAAATGTTCTAATTTCACCTGGGAATACTGTAACAACTCAGATATCTTAGTTTTGCTTGAAATATTTCCATTACATTAAACTGTTAGAACTGAAATTGTTCCTGCCACTATCTTAACCTTACCAAATGTTAAATTTTAGATTGATAGTGTATGCTCACAAAGTTTCCCTAAATTTAATTTTCAATGAAGAAAACTATCTTAGGCAGGAATTTAAAAAAAACCACTTCAATATATACAAAATGTTTCTATTTAAAGATAAAGTTAATGCTAGGATATTTCTGTTGAAAAATTTCTTTACCTCACCCACTGTTTTGTTTTATTGTATTTGAGGGGCCAGTTTGAATATGTAGGGCAGTCTATAAGAAGAATTTGAAATGAACATTTTAATATTTCCAAATTAAAAAGCAAAATACATTTTACAGAAACCTAATCGTATAAGTAAAATTTACCATTCTTTTAGCCCTGTAAAGTCAGTGATGGAGACTCCAATTATTTGAAACAAAAAGGTAAAATCTATTAATTATTCAAGATGTATGACTTTTTAGTGTAATTCGGATGGGGAAGTATACTGGCAAATCTCCATTTAAGCCTCCTGGGGTAGACCCTGCAGGGCCATCCTCATGCATGCTCTATGGAGGGTGCTCCAATTCAATTTCTCTCACTCCCATCCCCATCAATAATACCAAGAGAAAGTTTGTGGTCTCAAATTATATTTTAAATTGAAATAGGAAATGAAAGGCTAAATTAGATTATAAAATGCTTTTACCAACTTAAAAATTTTAAAGAATGATTTTTAGTCACAGTGTTGAGGCTATTCCTCACAATTGGTAGAATTTTGTTTCAACAGAATCTGAAGGAAGTCAGTTCATGGATACACTTTAAAAAAAACAACAAAAAAAGATTAATTTCTCAGTGAAAAGTTTGAAAAAGGTGGTTACAAAATCTTTGTACAACTTTAAACACTTTAGATATATATGATAAAAGTATACTGTAAATGAAAAAGATGAATTCTTAAGTTTTATGTATTATTGTTAATTTTGTATTAGTTAATTTCTATTTCTTTTCATAAATTAAATTCTTGAAATTATTGTGCAACAACTTCAGATTGCTTTGAAATATGTGTCACAAATGATGGCAGCAATGGTGAAGGTTAAAAATCAGACTGTATTCCTTTAAAACACTAATATACCAGCTTTTGTGTAACATTTATAGTGTGCTTCTATCATATATATCTGTTATTAAAGTTTAAAGTTGCACTAGGACTTTTTAATCACCCTGTATATTTCAATTGTTGTTTTAGATTTCATATTCATGAAACTTTGTTTATGTGCATTGAAGACTAAAAATTAAATTTCCAGTGAAAATAAATTTATGCATATCATCAAAGTGTCATATCTTTGGGCAAAAATCTATCAATAAAGGTTGAAAATATTTTAAACAAGATTTGTGGGAAAATTGAAAGTGTTTTTAATAAAAGCTTTCATATCAATCAAAAGCACAAATACATATTAGTTCTTTTCAAATAACAGAAAATATAGACAAGACTTAAGTTTTAAAATTCACTGTATGGCACTTAAATAATTTATTTACTTATGAATAAAAGACACTTGCAAAATGAATTTTTTTAATTAATTTCTTTCAACTAAGTTTCTTGAAGGCAGACACGATTTCATTTTTTCCCCTTTTTTGGCCCCAGAACCTACCAGGATGCCTAATAGATATTATAGGTATTTGTTAATGATTGTTGAATTAAAGATAATACTCAATTTAGAAAATAAATATCAAGTAGAATTTGCTATATCAATTTTTAATGTAGCTTTTTACTTTGTATTAATGTTACAAAGACTAAATGGATTAACTTATCAACAATAACATTAGAAGCAACAGAATAGTAATATTTCTGATCTAGTTTATGATAGATATCAAATATATATATGTGTTTGTATCATAGGATCCATAAAATTCCTTTGCAAATAATTTTAATAATATGATACCAAATTTATTCATGCCAATGTAAAGGAAAATTGAGAGAGGCAGCATGGAGTAATGGAGAAAGTGCTAGATTTGGAGTGAAAAAGAACTGAGTTCAAATTCTGCCCCATTTACTAGCTGTATGGCTCCAGGCAAGTCACTTAAACTCTCTGTGCCTCAGTTTCTTCATCTGTAAAATGAGGGAATTGGACTTGATGGCTTCTTAGTACCCTTCCCAGACCTTATGATTCTGTGACTTTACTCTTTCCTTTAATCTCTTGTTGAATGTGATTGTCATTGCCCCTTTTCATTTAAATTACCAAGAACTGCCAATATTTGAAATGAGATTCTGGTTTAAAAAAGTATATAATTCAGATTATTTTATCAATTCTGTCAGTTATATTCAGTCAACTCTTCTGAAAATTTATACTAACACAATATTATTCTCAGACAATAAAAGTGATATTTATACAGCTGTGTAACTTGTCTAAAATAAGAAAACAAAATTGAGAAAAATGTTATTTCAGTTCTATGTTTATCTTACAAATTACTAAGCCATCTTTTATTAGGAAACTTTTACAAATGAAGACATATTTGACCAGTGGCAAAAAAATCAGTCAGGGTTTTGTCTTGATCTTATATGACACTGATTTTAAGGACAAGAGGTATGAACCACTTAAGAAAAAAATAGATTATACCCAGAAATGCCTGTATTTAGCCCCAGGTAACTATTTGTCTCAGATTGTCATGTCTTATGAGTGGCAAGAAGCTGAACTATGGATAAAAAGAAAAAAAATTCCACTGACTGACCTTTCATGTATAGCCCAAGGAAGTAAGAAAAACAACATTCTCATTAATGCAACACACAAATCTCTGTCTCTGTTTCTCAGAGTATAGTGAAGTATAGTATAAAAACGGGTTAGACTTAGAAAACTGACTCCCTTTCGGGGGAGCTGTGTTTCAGAAGGACAAGCATTTCTTCTCAGCCCTGGGAGTCATTTTGCCTATATCAATCTTTGAGCTGGAAGGCTACTTTGAATTACATTTGAGAATTCTGAAAAAGACACACAGACTGAGAGGAAGTACTGCATGAAGATGCTGCATGAGCAGCATCAATAGTGTCAAGATGGTATTCTCAGCTCCACATAGGACTTAATAAAATGAGGTGGGAAGAAGCTTCCCTCCTTCAGGGCGCCTTCAGGCATTTTGCAGTGAATTGTAATTGCTTTTTCAAGAGCTAAGTTCCAAAAAGTCTACTTTTCTCCCATCTTCCCATTCCTGTGCCTGTTCACTGCCAGATATTGTTTTATACTCTTCTTTCTTCTTTTACATGTTTCCTGTATCTCGATTTTGCTTCATAAATAAAGAAACCTGGGTTTGGCCATGACAATTTGTACTGTATACTTAGTCAATATTGAGAAAAGGAGAATGAAGGTAGCTAGAGATTACTGGAAATACAAAAAAAAAATTATGGCAGACAGCCAAACCTCTATCTAAATTTGACTAACTCTAATAGGCTCTTAAGGTTACATTAATGAATTTTCATTTGATATTACCTCCACAAAATAGCAGGACTACCTGGCCTTGAATGCCATCATATTTGCTTTTAGCTAAAAACAAGCTAATTGCTATAATGGAGTAAGATGGATTAAACCTCCAGAGAAGAACAGAACAGGGGAGAGAAGACTGAAAAAAAGATCATACCATAAACTACCTGCCTCCCACCTCTATCCCTCAGAGGGAAGACAGACAAGGCTTAGGAAAGATTCAGCTTTGCCCCTTTCCGCAAGGGAAAGGGAGCAGAAAGGCTCAAGCACCAGCTACCCAACTCTCCCTAGCCCAGATAGATGCACAGGTGTGACAATGATAAGCATCCTGTCTAGATATTCCAGCTTTTCTAATTCCTTCACTGCCATTAATTTGCCAATTTAGAGCCTAATCTAGAAAACGTCAATCTCCAAAATCACGAACTATCTCAATTATTTTGGCTGTCATAACAAACTAATTCGGAAAGTTGTTAGTCAAACAACTGGTTACACAGTCAAGTCTGTAAGGATGGTTTAATTGATTTGCAATATGGACATAATCTATACTAGTTTTATAGTGATAACAATATTCTTTCTTGAGAAAATTTCACAGTAAATATGAAGGAGCGATTTTCTATAGCTCCCATTTCCAGTTTGGAGCTGTGGTTAATCAGCATCTTGTTGCCTTAAAAATGAGTTCTGTCCTACCAAAATGGTAATGGAATGGTTAAAAAAAATACTTGTTTTTGCTTGACTTGATATTTTAGGCAATTAACTTGAAACTGAAGCTGGAGCTCCTTGCTGGCATAATACTTTTATTTATCCATTACTTTAAGAGAACGAAGTTCCAGAGCAGCCATTCTTGACAGGTATTAAAATTCACCCAGTGCTTTTTTAGGATCATTTTTCTAAGCAGTCAAAGATGAGGAAGATGCCTTCTACCACTTCAAAATTAGATTTACAAAACATCACTTGAAATGCTGAAGAGAATTTTGATACTTCGGGAGTAGGAATATTTTAAAAGCTGCTCCCAATGGATATAGATCAATACATATACATGTCATCATGTGTGTATGTGTGTAAACACAAACACACATATAGTATATATATATATATATATATATATATATATATATATATATACATGTATCTTTTTTATAGGTGTATTTCTATTTAGAGCTATACATAGTTAATTTGCCTTGTATAAAGGCCAGATTTAATAATGAATTTTTTTTTCCTTTGGGAACTTTGCATAGTTTATAATTTATTCTGGATTAGGGCCTAAAATAATACTATTCCAAACAAGTGACATTAGCATAACTATACTGAATACATAAGGACTTTCAAGAGAAAAGATAGCCGATCAGGAGATTATATCTGTAAGCTACTATATTTAGAATGAATAAAATTAATATTCATAGTAAAAATGCTTACCAGAAAGATATTTTGACTTACACTATGTATTAATCAATCAATCAACAGGCATTTACTGAGTGCCTACTCTGTGCCAGCCCTGTGTTAATGTGTGAAGATACAAATACCAAGAATGAAACATGAAATAAAATATTTACCCATTAAAGATTTCTTTTGAATTTTAGCCAAATTGTATTTCTTATATATTTTTTTACCTCAAATCATTCATGAACAGACCTTTTAAAGTTGGTAAAGTACAATCTTAAAATTTTGCATGACAAAGATTGAGAATACATCTGTAAAAAATACAGCTGATGTCATTTAACATATTTGAAATCATGGCTCCTTGATCTGATAAAAACACTAAAAATAAAATAAAATGAAAATAACCTAAATACACATATGTGTTAAGGTAAGGTTAACAAATTGAATGTTTCCACTTAAGCTTATTTGAAGCCCAAACCATAAATCTGTTTTCCTTTTGATTCCTAGGGTTTCAGTTTAAATATTATCTCTTCAAAATGAATGAGGCATATGTCTAAATAATAGAAAACATGAGGGATTTTCTAAGCCACATTTTCGAATATAGCAACAATATCTTTCATTAAAATATAACCATTTTGATCTGTATCACATGCTGATTAATTTTCCACTCATTAGAGATCAGTCATGGACCTGCACTGTAGTTATATAGAAACCTCAAGTCTTGTCAGTTATTACTATCAATAATTAGAATATCTCTCTAGGCCACAGGTATGCTGAATTTCTCATTATAATCAAAAGACCTCGAGTAAGCCTCTTCACTTTTCCTTTAAAAGTGACCTAATCTATCTTTAAAAAGGCCAGATTCAAGAAAACACAATGATTTTTTTTTTTTTACTATTGTTAGTTTAGCTTGAAGTTGTGTTTTTCTCCTATTTGGAATATAGACTCTGGTCAAAATGATATTTTAGTAATGTATTTCCTTATAAATTTCAGCTTTGTAATAAATTGCACTACTTCACTGGATTGATCAAAACGATATTTTAGAATTGTTGTTAGCCAGGAGTACACATGGAGGCAAAATAAACAAAAATATAAAGGTACTGTGGACCAGAATAGTTTGATTATCTCTACAGAGTATTGATAGAAAAAGGTGCCCAAGAAATTAAGGTAAGCTGTATAGTTTTGGTTACAGGGTCACTTCAGTTTGAATTATTTGTTGTTGCTGTTGTTTTTTGCTGTGGTCGTCTTCCTGTTACGCTTTGCTATCTTCTTTTGACTGAGTTATATCAATGGAAATTTTTGCTTCTATAATTTCTGGGCTTAAAACCTCTTTTTCATTTTCTTCTTTTAATGGCAGTTTTCTAGATAGAAATAAGAAAAGAAACAGCTCTTTAAAAAGTAATTGAATCAATGTATCCTCATTTCATAAATTGCTTGGATCAGCCAAAGGAATGCTACAATTCTTTACGACAGCACATCATAATGATGACTGATGACCACTGGCCCTTTATGAAAAACCCAGGGATATTTTACATAAAAGTGGATTAGAATAGTTTAAGCTATCATCCTCTGTCTTTGGTATTATATTTTAATAAGAAATAGCATCAGATTTGACAAAAAACAATTATAAACTGACATTAAAAATGCCATCGATGAGCACTTATTAAGTGTCTACTACATCAGTCAGCCAATAACTATTTATTAAGCATCTATTACGTGCCAGTTGCCAGGCACTGTGCTAAGTGGTGGGAATATCAAGAAAGGCAAAAGAAAATCTCTCCTCTCAGGGAGCTCACAATCTAATGGAGGAGACAACATGTTAATAACTATGTGCAAACAAGATATATACAAGATATATTGAAGATAACCAACAGACAGAAGACACTTAACAATAAGGAGAATTGGGAAAGGCTTCTTGTAAAAGATTAGATTTTGATTAGAACTTGAAGGAAGACAGAAGATAGAGATCCTGGCTACCTATTATCTAATATCTCTTTTGCCCTTTGTGGTTAAACTCCTACATCTACAACAGAAGTGTCCATGTCCTCTGCTCTTACTCCCTTCTTAACCCTCTATAATCTGGCTTCTGACCTCATCATTACGCCAAAACTCTCTCTCCAAAGTTACCAATGATATCTTAATTGTCAAATCCAATGGCCTTTTTTCAACCCTCGTTTTTTTTTTTTAATTTTCTGCACCTTTTGATACTGTTGATCACCATCTCCTCCTCTCCAGATTTTTTGGACACCATTCCTGGTTCTTTTCTCATGTACTGGACTGCTTCTTTTCAATATCCTTTGCTGGATCCTCATCCAGATTACATCCAATAACCATTGGTGCCTCACGGACTCTATTCTGGGCCCTTTTCTTTTCTCTCTATAGTACTTCATTCACTGATCTCATCAGCTCTCATGGTTTTAATTATCATTTCTCTGCTGATGATTCTTAAAGCTCGCTGTCCTGCTCCAGTCTCTTTGCTGACTTCTATTTTTGCATCTCCAACTGCTTTTCAGATACCTTGAACTGCATCATCAGTAGTATACTCATAATACTGTTCCACCCCCAAGTACTCTGCAATCATTTCACTGACTGTCCCCCATGCCTGGAATGTTCTCCCTTTTCAACTTAGTAAGCATTTATTAATGCCTACTATGTTCCAGGCACTGTACTAATCACTGGGTATATAAAAATGGGCAAAGACAGTCCTTGACCTCAAGAGCTCGCAGCCTAACAGGGGAGACAGCAAGCAGACAAACAAGCTATATAACAGGATAAATAGGAAACAACAGAGAGAGGGCACTAGAATTAAGAGAGGTTGGGAAGGGCTTCTTGTAGAAGGCTGGATTTTGGACTGGACTTGAAAGAAGCCAGGGAAGTCTGAAGGCAGAGAGGAGGAGGGAGAGCATGCCAGGCATGGGGGAGCAGTCAGAGAAAATGCCCAGAGTTGAGAGATGGTCTTAGTTGTGGAACGACAACGAGACTACTGTCACTGGACTAAAAAGTACAAAGTGCAAGAAGTGCAAGAAGAGTGGAAAGATGGGGGTGGAGGGTGGTGAGCATGGGCTATGAGTCACTCTGAATGCTAAACAAAGGATTTGTATTTGATCCTGGAAGTGATAGGGAGCCACTGGTGTTTATTGAAGAGAGGAGTGACATGATTGGACTGGTACTTTAGGGCAATCACTTTGGTGATTAAATGGAAGATGGATTGGAGTGGAAAGAGATTTGTGGCAAGTAGATTAAGGAGCAGGATATTGCAACGGTATAAGCATGAAGTGATGAGGGCCTGCCCCAGGGTAGTGGCAGTATTAGAGAAGAGTAGGGGGCATATTTGAGGTATGTTGCAAAGATAAAGTTGATAGGCCTTAGTAACAGATTGAATATGGGGGTGAGATATGGAGAGGAGTTGAGGATGACACCTAGGGGGTCAAATCTGGGGGAACAGGAAAATTGTGATACCCTTGACAGTAATAGAGAATTCAGGAGATAGGCAGAATTTAGGAAGAAAAATGATGTTCAGTTTTAGATGTATTGAGTTTAAGATGTCCACAACTAATCCAAACTGAGTGTCCAATAAGCAGTTGGAGATAGGAGTTTAGAGGTCAGCAGAGAGATTAGAGTTGGATAAGCAGATGAGAATCATTAACATAGAGATGATAATTGAATCTTTGGGAACTGATGATATTATCAAAAGGGAGAAGAGACAAGGGCCCAGGATGGAACCCTGTTGGACCCACATTTAGAATAATGACAACCAGGGTTTGGATTCACTAGAATGGAGATGATTATAAAAATAGCTGACATTTATGCAGCACTTTACATTTTGCAGAGCACTTTGCATATATTATGTGTTCTATTTTGATATCCCCAGCCCCAGATGGTAACCTGATTCTCTTTTTAAAAATGAATTTGTCGGGGCAGCTAGGTGGCGCAGTGTATAGAGCACCGGCCCTGAAGTCAGGAGTACCTGAGTTCAAATTCGGCCTCAGACCAAACACTTGACACTTACTAGCTGTGTGACCCTGGGCAAGTCACTTAACCCCAACTGCCTTAAAAAAAATGAATTTGTCCTTCAAACAAATATAGACATAAATAATTGAAGGAATATTAATTGCATGTGGGTAGACAGAGCCAATATAATAAAATGTGACAATACAACTGAAATTAATTTACTTAGTGTTATACCAATCAAACTATCAAATAATTATTTTATAGAATTAGAAACAATAACAAAATTCATCTAGAGAAACAAAAGGTCAAGAATATCAAGGAAATCAATTAAAAAATTGGGAAGGAAGGGGGCCTGGAAGAACCAGGTAGCAAATTATACTATAAAGATGTAATCATTGAAATAACTTAGTAGTAGATAAGAAATAAAGTGGGTGAGCAATGGAGTAGATTAGGTACATAATATACAGAAAAAAAAATGAGTACAGTAACCCAGTGTCTGATAGACCTAAAGGTTCAAGCTTTTGCTGCAAGAACTTACCATCTGAAAAAAAAAAACTGCTGGGAAAATTGGAAAGAAGTCCAGCAGAAACTAAGCAGAGACCAATATATCACACTGTATGTATACCAAGATAAGTTCCAAATAGGTACATGATCTAGACATAAAGGGTGATATATAAGTAAATTAGTGGAGCATGAAAGAAATTACCTGTCAAATCTATGGCTAAGAATTCATGACCAAACAAGATAGAGAAGTTCGTAGGAGGAAAAATTATAATTTTGATTATATAAATTTAAAAAAATTTGCACAAATAATGCTGTTAAAATTAGAAGAAAAGCAGATAATTGAGGGGGAAATCTTTGCAGCAAATTTGATTGATAAAGATCTAATTTCTCAAATATATAGGGAACTGAGCCAAACCTAGTAGGAATAAGAGCCATGTCCCAATTGATAAATGGTCAAAGGATAGGAAGAGGCAGTTTTCAAGGGAAGAAATTTAAGCTATCAATAGTCACGTGAAAAATATACTCTAAATCACTAATAGTTAGAGAAATGCAAATTAAAACAACCCTGAGGTACCACCTCACACCCATTATATTGGCTAAGATGACACAAAAGGAAAATAACAAATGCTGGAAGGAATGTGGGAGAACAGGTACACTACTGCACTAGCTGTGAACTAGTCCAGCTATTCTGGAAAGCAATGTAGAGTGATGGCCAAAAAGAGCTATTAAACTGGGCATACCCTCTAACCTAGCACTGCCACTACTAGGTCTATACTCCCAAAGAGATAAAAGAAGGAACAGGACCCATGTGTTAAAAAATATTTATAGCAGCTCTTTTTGTCATGTCCAAGAACTGGAAACTGAGAGGATGCCCATCAATTGAGAAATGGCTGAACAAGTTATAGTATATATGAATGTGATAAAACAGTATGTGCTATAAGAAATGATAGAGTGGTTTCAGAAAAACCTGGGAAGACTTATATGAATAGATGCAATATGAAGTGAGAACAATTTACACAGTAATAGCAGTATTGTAAAGATAATCAACTGTGAAAGACTTAGTAACTCTGATCAACACAATGACCCACCACAGTTCCAAAGGACTCATGATGAAAATACTATTCACCTCTCAATAGAGAACTGATGGACTCAGAGTGCAGATTGAAGCATATTTTTTTCTCTTTCTTCCTCCCCTCTCCCCAGAACATGGCTAATGTGGGAATTTGTTTTGCCTGATTTCATATTTGTAGTGTGTTTTGTATTTCTTGCCTTCTCAATGAGTGATGGAAGGGATGAGAGAAAGGAAAGAACCTGGAACTGAAAATAAAATATAATTGAATGAAAAAAATTAGAATGAGTCTGTTCTCACAGCCAACTGGCATGTTGTTACTTGAGTTCAGGGTATATGGGGCGATAGTCCTGAGTTTTCTATTTCCCAGACTATCTATGCTAAGACCTTGCAGTTCTGATTTGGAATGTCATTCCTGGGGTCCTATCAAGTCACAGCTTTATTTTGTGAACAACCTTATAACTCTCCCAGGAGAACCCTAATATTCAAATTTGGGGTCACTTAGATTTTCCCTAGAAAAATGAGCCAATTGGAACACTGCTGCCCCTGAGAAGCTGGTCTCAGAGGCTAAACTCCATCCCTTTGATCTGTAGAGGGGTGACATTAGGTGGAATTAGTGGAGAAAGTATTGCCGATGAGCTGACTCACTAGGTATGGCCTGTAAGCATTTCAACACCATTTTGGTTGGAGGGCTGCAAATAAACAAAATAAAACACAGACTCTTTACAATCCATAGAGACACCTGATGTTACGTATTTATATACGCAACAGTGGCCATCCCATGGAGCACTTTTTGAGATAGGTCAGTTTCTGGATTTCTCCCCATGCACAATCCATAGGATGTCTACTGTAACATGTCTAAAATTATGTCAAGTGAGGCAGCAAGGAATAATAGATGGTCAGTCTTGGAGTCAAAGAGATTTGGGTTTAAGTTCCACTTTTGAAATTAGCTGGCTGTGTGACCTTTGGCAAATCAGTTAACCTCTTAGTGCTCTAGGCCACTTTCTATGGCTATAAACTGCAGAGTAGGACATAGACTCCTAGCCTGGAGTTCTGTGTTTTGATGAAGTCACAGGTTAGGAAATATGTCTCTATATAAATTAAGATATACATGTATATCTATATATCACTCTCTACATACATGCATACATATACAGACAAAAGTATGCACATATGCACAAATATTTTAAAAATAAGAACTAATCTATTTTTTAATTTTGGATACATGTTTACTGAAATAGATATGTACATAAACCTAAAGTCTGAATATGTTTCTTATCTATTTGCATTAATTTTTATCTTTGCCCATTGATTTCATTTTTATGGCAGTGTTGTCCAAATGGACCTAACAACCCTGAATGATTCTATAATTCTTAGTATTAACTTATAGATTCAACTAGTATTCCCAATTACTCAAACTTTTCTTGTTCTCTCCCTTTCTGAAATCCTAACTTTTTTGAAACTCAAGTTCCATATAGTTTTCTTTTCAAAAGACAATTTTCAGTCAGAGTTTTTTACATTATACATATGGTGGATTGATTGCTAGTAGTTGTTTATTTCAGATACAGGTAATTGTGTATTTTTTTTTCTTTTAAATATGTGTATGGGGGGAGAAAAATGAGAACAGAAATAATTAACTTAATCTAATGCTAATGTAAATAAGATTATAATTCTAGCTTTTATCTTTAATTTTTTTAAATATGTTAGAGCACTAACATGCTCATTGGATCATTTCTGTACCTGGAACAGACCTAACAGTTCATGAATATGAATGCTGTTTTCTTTACAAGTCACTAACCTATTATTTCATTTACCAAATATTGACACAATTGTCATTAATATAGATATGATACACTAAGATTCTTTCTCATTCTTCTTTACAAATCTTCAGTTCTCTTGACTACTTAAATTCTGTGATTCTGAATTCAGAACATGTCAATTTCAGGATACAGAATACCCACATGGATGTTTTGTCAGTAAACCCTGTACGTTTGAGAAGGCCAACTACATTTTTCAAGTGTTTATTTTTAATGATACAAAATTAGTGTCTATGAACAAAACTCTGTTCCTAATTGTCAACTTAAAAAAATCTGAATTAGAATTTAGCAATATATGTTAATTAATTTCTCTCTGTCATCATGGTTCAGAAATAAATTGTTTTGCTTCTCAAAGGACAATGGGCCCTTGAAGTTCATACTTATAATACTTTTAAAATAACTTTAAAAATAATTTAGTTTTACTTGCATGAAATTCTTTGAAGTACAGTAGGGATCTCACTACTGCTTACTCAAATAAAATTTAAAATTCTAGGCTACATACTCAGGTTCTGTGAGTGGAGTAGTTTCATTTGGTTCATTTATTGGGCTTCCATCTTCATGACTGGTAATTCTTTCATCCTCTGTTCTCATTTCCACTATTGGCTCTTTTGATCCATCTTTCCTAAAAAGTATTGAAAAAAAATCTTAACCTGCACAATGTAATCAAAATATCATTCATTTTGTGACACAGCCTAAACCCTAAAGTACAATATTTCCAGATCTGAAGAACCTTCAAGAATATCTCTTATGTAAGTTCCCAGAAGATTTTGGCTTGGTACAGAGAAGACAGAGAAATAAAGTTACTAGAAATATATAACATAATAGAAAATTTGTTGCAACAAACAAAACATTTGAAAGTTTTGAATAGCACTTTTTTTTCTGCTGCAACTTTCTGGATAATGTGGGTATACATCTTATAAAGAAAAAACAGTATAGCATTTGAGGGCTGAAAAAGAGATCTTCTGATTCAATCCTTCCATTTACTCATGAGGAAACTAAGGGGCCAGGGAAGTGAGGTGACCTGCCCAGGGAATCATTGGCAATGTGGGAATTAAAACCCAGACCCCCTAACTTCTAGACCACTGTTCTTTCCAATAGATTGTGCTGAGTCTTTTACTAGAAAGAAAGGTCAAGGGCACTTCCATGTTCTATGTGTCATACTTGCTAAAATGGCTAATGCAATCTTAGGTGGCATTAATAGATTCAGATTAAACCAAGCAAGGGAAATAGTGGCCACTTTGTATTCTTCATGGAACAATCCTCATCTTTAATATTAAATCATATTCTGTATGTCTCTCTACAAAGTGACACTCCAAGCCCTCATCATGGTGTGGTGATGATTCTGGATTCTCAAAAGCCATGTTAAAAGAAGAAGCTTTTAAGATGATCCTGGAAAAAGACTGATGATTTTCCAAGCATCAGCCTAGCTAAAAGCATGAAGAAGCTCATTACCATACTTGCCATTAGGTGAATTATTTGGCCATGGTGACACCTAAAACAAAGAAATATGCAAAACAGCCATCAGTCCTCTGAAGGTCCCTTTTATTTCTGCAGTGGTGATGGCAGCATAATGATAAATAGGCTAGAATGTGCAAAGAATAAGACAAGTTTTAGACTGTCTATAAATGTTAACCACGTGGGATTCTAACTATGAGATTCTTGTCCAGTGACTAACAAGGAGCCACACCCCTAAATCCTATTAAAAATAATATTTTTACTTTTAATGAAACTAGCAGACAAAAAGTAAGTTGCATCTACATCGAAGGATGGTTCACAGTTCCTCTTTGGTGAGGGGCAAGTAAAGGAATTATGCAACTGATTTTATTATGAATCCAAAAGTAAGAAGACACAGCATTTTATGAATATTTGGTAATTTCATTGCATTGTTTATTGCTTTTAAAAGAAAAGACTGTTATAAAGTCTAAAGTAGTTTAATCACCAATCTCTGTTGCAGAGGGTAAGGAGGTAACATAAGAGCAAATAAAAAATTATTAATATTGAAAAATTATTAATTGTATGGCAAACTGCTGGGAAACTAACAGATAAATAAGACAGTCCCTGCTTTTAAGGAACTCATTCCTTTTTTAAAAAATTTATTTTAAAAATAAGTTTTTATTGATATCTTCTGTTTTGTACTTCATCATAGGTGTCCCCAGTATTTCTCTGGCTTCTCCCAGAAAGTTAATCCTTATAACAAATAATATTTTTAAAGAGGAAAAAAATCAGGACAAATGATTGATATACTGGAAAAAGTCTGAAAACATATGCAATGTATAACATGAGTGGAACTCCCACCTTCACAAGGTTTGGGATGTCTTCTCATATCTTTTCATTTTTAGGTCCTGATTGATCTAAATTTGCTTTTGTTTTGGTGTATGGATTTTCCATTTACATTATAATTAGGGTGTATATTGTTTTCTTGGTTCTGCTGATTTGACTCTGCACTATTTGATGTAGATCTTTATGTGTTTCTCTGCATTCATCCCATACATCACTTCTTTGTTGGTTTTTTTAGTTTTGGTTGGGCAATGGGGGTTAAGTGACTTGCCCAGGGTCACACAGCTAGTAACTGTTATGTGTCTGAGGCCACATTTGAACTCACGTCTTCCTGAATCCAGGGCCGGTACTCTATCCACTGTGCCACCTAGCTGCCCCCTCCCCCCATACATCGTTTCTTACAGAACAGTTAAGATTCCATTACGTTCACATACCACAATTTTTCTAGCCATTCCACAATCAATGACATTAATTTTGTTTCTAATTCTTCGCTATCACATAAAGTCCTTTTATAAATATTTTGGTGTATATAGAGAGTTTTTTCTTATTGATAGTTTCCTTAGGATATAAGCTGAGGAATGGAACCTCTGATTCAAAAGGTATAGATATTTTAGTCACTTTGCATAATTTCAAATTGCTTTCCAAAATGGTTGTACCATTCCACAGATCCACTGACAATGTTTTACTGTGCCTATAATTCCACAACCCCTCCAACATTGACTATTGCCATTTTTGTCATCTTTGCCAATTTACAGACTATGAGATGGATCTTCAGGTTTGTTTTGATTTGTATTTCTTTTATTATTAGTGATTGGGAGCATTCTTTCATGTGGTTGTGAATAATTTGCAATTTTTCTTTTGATAACTACTCATATCCTTTAACCACTTATCTATTGGGGAATGGCTATTAGTTATGTATAAATATAAATATATATGAATTACATATGATATAAAATAAAAATTATACATGTACATGTATATGTGTATATGTACACACATATATGTGTGTGTATGTGCGTGAGTGTATAATTTGTATATCATGGATACCAAACTTTGATACAAAGATTTTTTTCCCATTTGACCACTTCCCTTCTCATTCTAGGTTCACTAATTTTGTCAATGCAGAAGCTTTTCAGTTTCAGTTAATCAAAGTTATCTATTTTAACTTTTGTAGTTGTATCTATCTCTTGTTTGGTTAAGAATACATATCCTACCCACAGAAGGGAGATATACATGATCTTCTCCCCTGATTTTAAAAATGAAATGATTTTCAATATTAAGATCCACATATCCATTTAGAAGATATTGTGGAATATGGTGTAAGAAATTGATACAAACCTAATTTTTCCAGTCTGCTTTGCAGTTATCTCAACAGTTTTTTTTTTAACTCAATAAGGAGTTTTTTCCTAGGTTATTTATGTTTTCTACTTTATCAAACACTGGGTTATTGAGTTCCACTATTTCTGATTCTCCATTGTCAAATCTGTCCATTGATTGATCTCTCTATTTTTAAATTAATACCATATAGTTTTGGATTTTTTTCCCCTAATACCATATAGTTTTGATGACTGCTACTTTATGATATAGCTGGACGTCTGGAAGTATTAATCCCCCTCCATCCCTATTTCTTTTCATCATTTCCCTTGATAGTCTAGATCTTTTTTTTCATCCAAATGAATGTTATTATTTTTATCAAGTTCAATTAACTATCTCCTCTGTAATCTGATTGGTATATCATGATAAGTGATAATTTCCAAGAGTTATTTGGAAGCCTTGTAATTTTTATCATATTGGCATGGCCTAGAGACATAAGCACTGAATATTTGTCCAGCTATTTAAGTTATTCTCTATTTCTTTAAGGAGCACTTTGTCATTTAATCTAAACAAATCTTCTATGTGCTTTGGTGTGTCCATCTCAAGATATTGTATACATTTTGTAGTTATTTGGAAAGATATGGCTTTATTATTATATTGGCTTCTTGGATTTTGGTATTATATAGAAATGCTGTTGGTTTTTCAGGGTTTATTTTGTAGCCTACAACTGTGCTGAAGCTATTAATTGTATCAATTAATATTTTGGCTGACTCCCTAGGATTTCCAAGTATACCTTCATATCATCAGCAAACAGGGATAGTTTTTATTTCCTCTTTACCTATCTCTATGCCTTTAATTTCCTTCTCTTCTATTATTGCTGTTGCTAGCATTTCTAGAACTATATTAAATAAGAGGGGGTAGAGTGAGCATCTTTGCTTCATTCTTGAATTTATTAGGAAAGATTAGTGCATCCTCAGCGCATATGATATTTGCTTCTGGTTTTAGATAGATGCTTGTTATGCTATTTTTAAAAAGGTCCCTCTATGTCTCTACCTTGCAGGTTTGTTAAAGCAAAAAAGAGTACTGTATTTTGGAAAAGGCTTTTGTGAATTTGTTGAGATGATCACATGCTTTTGGATGTTTTAATGTTTAATACGATTGATTACACAAATTATTTTCCTGACACTGAACCACCTTTGTATCCTTGGTATAAATCCCACTTAGTCATAATGAATATTACTTGTATAAATCACTGTAGTGTATTTGATAGGATTTTGTTTAAACTTTTTGAGTCAATATTCACTAATTATATTGGCCTATAGCTTTCCTTCTGTGTTTTATGTTATCCTGGTTTAGGCATTAGGACTATATTTGTCTCACAACATGATGCTGGTATGGTGCTACCTTTCTCAGTTTCTGAGAATAATTTGTAAAACATTGGTACTAAGTGTTCTTTTAAAAATTTAATGGAATTCTCCTGTGAATCAAGACCTAGGGTCTCTCTTCTTTCCCCCCACTTTGGTAATTCCTTTACAGCTAAATCTATTTTCTTTTCTGAGACTGGGTTATTTAAAATTTTTATCTGGCCTTCTGATAGTTTGAGTATTTTATATTTTTGAAGGTATTTATTTCTTTTGTGTTCTCCATTGTGTTAGCATATAACTGTGTATAATATATTCTGATTATTCTTTTTATTTCTTCTGGTTTTGTTGTGATTTCTCTTGTTCATTTGCTGTTTAGTTGATTTGATTTTCTGCTATCTTCTTTTTAACCAAATTAGCTAAACTTTTATTGGTTTGATTAGTTTTATCAAAGAACCAGCTTTCAGTTTTAATAATCATTTCTCTGAGTTTTTTGGTTTCTAAAATATCAATTTCCTCTCTAATTTTAAAAATTTCCTCATTTATGCTTATTTTAGGTTTGCTTATTTGTTGGCCCTCTCTTTTAAAATTTTGTTAATACATGTTTGTAGAGACATGATTTTTTCCCCAAGGAATTCTTTAGCTGCATCCCAGAAATTTTGGCACATTACTTCATCATCATTTTATTTCATGTAATTATCAATTGTTTCTATGATCTGTTCTTTGACCCACTCATCAGTTAGGATTTCATTGTTAAGTTTCTATTTGGGCTATGTCTTTTACTTATGGTCCCTGAACCAATGGTTATTTTTACTGTGTTATGGTCCATAAAGAGTTAATTTATTATTTCTGCCTTTTTATATTTGTTTGCAATATCTCTGTATCTTAACACATGGTCTGTTTTTGTAAAACTTCCATGATGCACTGAAAAAAATATATATATATATAATATATACTCTTTTGTAATCTCACTAAGAAGATGCCACAAATCTTTTAGCTCCAGTTTCTTTAGAAATTTGTTCAGTTTCATATATTCCTTTTTGTTTAGATTTCTGTTAGACATATTTAACATAGAGAGAGGGATATTAAAGTCTCCTGCCACTGTTATGTTACTGTTTATGTTTTCTTTTAGCTCAGTTAATTTTTCCTTTATGCATTTGGATATGAAGGCATTTAGAGCATATAATTTTATCACTGAATTGGTTTATTATCTATGGTTCCTTTCAGTATAATGTAGTTTCCTTGTTTATTCCTTTTTATTGAATATTATTATTATTTTAGTTCTCTTTGTCAGATAGCTTGATTGCAGCTCCTGCCTTTTTGAATTCACTTGATGTATAGTAAATTTTTTCCTATCACTTCACTTTTAATTTGCATACAAATTGTAGGATTTTGTTATCCAATTTGCCACTTTTCCATTTAATTGTATTAATTCATTCACATTTAAAGTTATGAGAGTTATGCTCATATTTTCCTCCAATTGTCTATAACATTTTAAAGTTATGATTTCTACAATTTTTCTGCTGTATACACAGTACTATTTTCCTTGAATTACTGTAGCTTGATCTTTTTTAAGGTGGTTCCATTACCAATAGTTCTCACTACCAATGGCCTCACTCATTTGTTATCTTTTTCCTTATGGAGTTTTACTTATTAATTCATTTTTCTTTCCTGTTTTATGTTTAATTCTTGCCTTCTTTTTTCCCCTCTCAGTTAGTTAAGCAGATTTCTGCTTCCTTTCCTCCCCTTCAACTAGTCTTGTTCACTACTTTTTCATATTTCGCCTTTTTTTGGGTGCCCATTTCCAGGGAAGCTTTCTCTTACTCTTTTCATTATCCACTCTCCCTTTTTGTCTAGAAACTTATTGTCTGGTTCATGAACTTTATAATTATCTAGTTCTTGATTCTCTGTATTCCTCATAAAATCAAAGCTTCTAAGGTATCTATTTTAGGCTCTCCTAGGAAATTTCTGCCACTGCCTCTTGCATGTAGCTTGTCCTGTGAATTTCTGCTTTCCATTGTCCTTTATTCCTATAACAATGCCAATTCCTACAGGTGACAGAGAAGAGTACTCTCCTTTCTCACTTCCCTAATTACTCAGCCCACTTTTGATTTATACCTTTCTTCTGGTTACCTTCTTTCTGCATTTGCATAAAAATATCTTCCATGGGTCTATGCCCTCCTACTCCCCTAGTTGACAGTTGCCCCCAGTTCTAACTCCTCTCCTGATGTAGAACAAGTAATCTTTTCAAGCACCAAATGCCCTAGACCACACCCAAGCACAGGGTTCCCATCTTTTTTTCACACAACATCTGTCTTCACCCACAGAAGTATTCATCAGCAGAACTCCTTCCCATCACTAAAACAAAGATTCCTTCATTTTCCTTCCCTTTTTAGTCCTTCCCCTCTCCTTTTTTACTCACTCCCCTTCTGGCTCTTCTCTTCTTGAGAGAGCATGGGGGTCACCTTCTCTCTCGTTGCTAGTCCTTGATTTGACATTGGCACATTACACATTCCCATCTATTCCCCTGCTCCCTTCCCCCATTTCATGCATTCTTCCATTTTATAAGTAGTGCCACAAAAACACCCCAACACTAATTTGCCCATAGTGAGGGTGTTGCCAGGTTCTGTTTATACTAACCCCTATCCTCCTCTTTATTGATACCTCTACCTGACTTCTGCCTTCACCACTGTCTCCTTGTGTACATTTAGAAAAAAGTATCTCCTGTTACTTTGTTGCTGTTGCTGTCCTTGGCTGGTATATTAATTTATCCTTCCTGAATTTCTTTTGTCTTGGGTCTCTGAAAAGCAAATAATGTCATCAGGTCTGGTTTTCTTTCTAAGAAAGCTTCAAATACCTTTTTATTATGGAATATCGGTCTTTTTTCACTTATGGTTAAGCTCTGATGTGCAAAAAAAACCTCAAATGGGGTCATAAAGGGTCAGATACGTCTGAAACAACACAACAACAGAAACATCTAGAAAGGGAAGCAGTGATATAAAGAGTCACTATGGCTTCATCAAGACTAGGACATAACAGAGTAACTTTATTGTCTTTTTTGGGTAGAGTTATTAATCTTCTAGATGAAAGAAATTCTATAGATAGTTTACCTAGATTTTAGGAAACTTCACAAAGTATTTCATATTAATTTTATTAATGATTCAATGTCAACATAGCAGGTTAACATTTTGATCGCTGATCTGGATAGAGGTACAGATAACATGCTCATAAAATTTGCAGATTACACTAAAGGATGTCATCAAAGGATGGCATTGCTAATATATGGCATGATAATATATTGGATGACAGAATGAAGATACAAAAAGATGCTGAAAGCATTGAGGTGTATCTACTAAAATGAAATGCGATAGGGATACGTGTAAATTCTGACATTTGGGCACAAAAACAAACCAACTTCACAAGTACAAGATGAAGGATGCATGGTTAGCTAGCAGTTTCTCTGAAAAAGACCGAGGAGTTTGAGTGGAATATTAGCTCAATATGAATCAACAGTGTCACGTAACAGTCAAAGAAGCTAAAGTGATCTTGGGCTTTGCTGAGATGTGTTTCTTCTAGGAATAAGGAGGTTATAGTCCCTTTGTAGTTTGCCTTTGTCAGTGGTACTGTGTTCAGTTCTGGGTGCTACAATTTAAGAAGAATTGACTGCTGGATAGTAATTGATAATCTGGACAGCGTCCAGAGGATGGAAGTCAGGAAGTCGGCCCTTGTTTGAGTTTCTGTCATATGAGAATTGTCTGAAGCAACTGGAGATATTTATTTGGAGAAAAGAAGAATTGGGGGGACATTATGGTCATCTTAAATATTTGAAAGCCTGCCATGTAGAGAAGGGAACGATTTGTTCTGTTCAGCGCCAGAAAGAAGAGCCTGGGTAAAGAGGTTTCCTGAAGTCAGAAAAAAAACCTTCCTAACATTTAGAGCTGCTCAAAAGTTAAATGATCTATGATTAAGAGGTAATGGATTCCCCGATTTGGAGGTCTTCTAGCAAAATCTGGATAACTACTTGTTGGATATAACAGTGTTGAGTCCTTTTAGGTATGGATTGGACTGGACAGTGACTGAGGCCATTTCTCAAATTTTGTGACTATGTAATTCTTTGATTCTGCGAAAATACCATTAACTCAGGGAAATATAAACTATAACGGGGAAAAGGTAGCATAAGATGCAATAGTCTTACTAGAAAAATTTACAACTCAGTCTTTACAAAATAGGTTGTTTTTATGTACTCAGATATTGCTTGAAATAAGTAACAGGTTAGAATCTGAGATTAAGATTTTTAAAAATAAATGTATGATACTCACAAATATGCAGCTTTTCCATCTTCTAGATCTTTACTTTTGCCACTGGCACCACTTTTCTTTCCACACATTCTTCTAGTAATACACATTAGCAATCCACATTGTCGGGTAAAGAAGCAGCTAACATCAGTTACCACAAAAATTAGTAGAAGTGCAGCAACTCCTATTCCAATGATTGCACCAAGTCCAAAGCCGTTAAAAAGTGTATCTTAAAATAAACAAAACATTACATTTTAGAAACCTAATAAGGAAAAAAAGAGAATATATTTCAATGAAAATTAGACCAAAACTTCAGGAAAAAAAATTACTTATGAGATTTTAACTTCAAGATTATTGGAGACTAAACATCAAATTTCAATGAACATTTTAAAGACATTAGCAACGCTGTGGAAAATTCTTTGTAAAATTTCTATCGAAAAATACTGTTTTTAACTGTTTGACCCTGGGCAAGTCATTTAACCCTAATTGCCTCACCAAAAAAATACCATTTTTTTCCCCTAAAAACACATTTTACTCCTTGGAGTTGATAATACCTTTTCTAAACCTGATATGTCATTAAATTAATATTTTTTATATTAAAAGTTTTGATTATTACAATGTCAAATACTGTTAAGAATATGAAGTCTATCAAAAATTTGAATTAAAGTTTTATACAGAATAATTTAACTTTTACTTCTCAAATTTGTGAATATGTTTGAAAATTCCATTTAAGAGAAAAAATATTTTAAAAGGAATGTCTCTACATATTTTAAAGCCAAGTTCCCCTTTTTTACCATATTTTTAGAATAAATTTTTGTCCACATATCTTTTCAAATTTTTTATACATAACAACACTTAGCCCACAGACAAATTTTGAAAATTGTGTTATACAAATAATTGACCAGTAGTTGTGATTTCTGATAGGCAACATGGGTAGGAAAGGGGGTATTTAATCATGTGACAAGGTACAGTATCTATTAGTCCCTTTAGTGTGACATGGATAACCATGGCATCTTTGAGGCGTGAAAATCATTGTTGTGGTGGGAATACTCAACAGGGTAATAATGCATCATGCTTTTTTGTGCCTCAGTTTACCTTTCTCATGAAACATTACCAAGATTAGAAGTCTGAGTTTTCTCATACAAGATTGGCTTTCACAAAGACCAAGCTTGAGGTAACAGAAATGTTATGAAATACTGTGGCTCATGCTATAAGTATCTTGTTTTCTCAGTGTTCTGAGACTAGATTCGTTTCCACAGACAGCAAGCCCACAATAACAGGAATGTTCTCAGAACATGTGTCTCCAACCACAAATATCTCATCCTCTGAGTGTTACATAGTTGTGCTGATGTTTTTTTCCCCTCTCCCTCACAGACCCCTCCCACATGCAAACACACGCAGGATCCCTGGGATCAGACAAGTGAGAGAAGTGGGGTAAAGGAGAGGATGGGTCAGGTACAAGAGGGGGAACGGGAGGGAAAGGGAAGAAACTGAAGGGCAGGAAGACCTTTAGCTGCCCGAAGTCTACTTTTCTGACTTTAGTGAATGTGGAACTCAGTGCATTCTTTTTTTTTTTGGTAATAAATTTATTTATTTTATCACATTTTAAGTTCCTGTTTCCCTCTCTCCCTCCCCACCCTGCACTAGAGAAGGCCACCATTTGACCATCACCATCAAATTAGGTCTCAGTTATAGCAAAAGTCAAAGTCTAGGTTTTTCTCTTCTTTATCATGGTTCATTTTCTTGCTATTCCTCTAGTTCAGAATCACAGAATCACAAAACTGAAGAGTTGGAAGGAACCTTTGCAGTCACTAACTCTAATTACACCCTAAAAGAATCTCTGTTATAATACACTCAAGTTGACTTTTCTTGAAGCCCACCATGGGGGGGAACTTGCTTCTTCCAAGCCATCTCAATCCATTTTTAGATAACTCTAGTTGTTAGGAAATTTTTCCAGCCTTCCTTCTTAATTTTTTCCTTTTACAATTTCCTTGCATTTTTCTTCATTCTTCTCTGTGGAACTAGGCAGAACAAATCTGCTTCTGCATGACAGTGTTTCAAGTACTTCAAGACAGTTTATAATGCTCCTCTGACTTTTCTCCAGGTTAAACATGAACATTTCCTCTAATGTATCATATATTATTGAATCCAAACCCTTTGACATTATGGTTGCCATCCTCTGGAAATTCTCCATCTTATCAATGGAGAAGAAATGATGGATTTAAGAACAATTATAGAAATTAAGTCACCAAGATTTGACAATTGCAACTGGATGCAGAGAACTTTAAGATTCTGTGATGTTTAACTTTGGACTTAAACATTTAGGCAGAATTTTATGTAGAAAGTGAAATCTGAACTTAATTTTAGAAGTTGGGTGAGCTGTGGAAGGCAAAGAGAAGAGCAGAGAAGATGGAGATGGGAATTGATTTGGTATGCTATGAGAACAGTAAGAACACTATGAAGCAGAGAGGAGCAGAGGGAAATGTTAGGGTTGATAGCGAGGATAGGATCAAGTTGTAAAGGATTCAAACTTGATGTGGTAGACAACACATTAAAGTTCTTTGTAGAATCTTGAATGGAAAGTCCTACTTAAGAAGTGAAGTCTGGCAGCTTATTGAAAATGAATAGGGGAGGTAAATCTGTCTTTGGACATCAATCGGTAAACAAAGAACAGTAGACTGGTCTAAGAATCTAGCTTCTGAGGTCAGTGTGGCTATGATAATAGTCACTCAGGGGTCAATTATGGAAGGAATTGCTAAGGTTTGGAGTCAAGACAAAGGAAAAAAGAATCAAGTCAAATTTATATCAACATACATATTTGTTAATGTTGTTTAATCAATCAATCAATCAATCACATCTGACTCTTTGTGACCCCACGAACCATAGCATGCTAATGATGTCTGTGGAGTTTTCTCAGCAAAGATACTAGAGTGGTTTGCCATTTGCTGCTCCAGTCAATATATACATACCACACACAGACCACACAAACCTATAAATAATGTGTGTGTGTGTGTGTGTGTGTGTGTGTGTGTGTGTGTGTAAAACTGAAGCCTATCAACCTTCTTCTAGGCATAAAGTCCTTGTACTTAAGGAATCTATCCACAGTCTAGTTAAGGAGACAAGACATAACTGAACATAGTAACAATACAATTGTTTTATAAAAAACACAAATGCAAGATGTGGCCTAGGGTAATGTAGCATTAATTATCAAATTAATATATACTATGGGTTCATCTCCACTATGGACTTTGAATAGTTCATGGAAGAGAGACTTGACATAAGAAGAATCAAGATAGAATCATTAAGGTGGAAGGGACCTTAAAGATCCTCTAATTCAGCTGCCTTCCCGCTTTAGGAATCCTTTCTACAATGTTTCTATTAAGTGATCATACAGCTTTTTCTTGACCATGTCATGAGAGGGAGCTCATCACTTTGCAAGGTAGAGTCTTCATTTCTTTTTTTTGGACAGCTGTTTGTTAAATTTTTTCTCTGGATATCAAACTGAAATTTGTCTTCCTGTAGCTTCTACTCATTTCCCCCTCTTCTACTCATTGAGACATCCAGTGCTTGGATATATAGATTGTTTATGTGACATTCTTTCAAATATCTGAAGACAATTCTTATATTTGAGTTTTAGCTAATTCTTCTCTTTTCCAAAGTAAACATCAGCAGGTCACTCCATATTCATTGATTGATCAATTAATTAACTCATTTATTTATTTATTCAGCATTTATCAAGGGCCCACTACATGCTACGCTCCAAACTAGGTGGAGTCAGGTATGCAGAGATAAAAAAGAAAAAAAGTATCTTCTTCCAGGAAACTCATATTCCACTAAGAGGAAATGACATATGGAAAACCAAATTTAAAAAATAGCATGGTGTGTGAATTAACTAGGACAAAAGCAAAATAAATTTATTGACATACTAGAAACGTAACTTTTATCTCTAAACACTTAATGTGTAATAATACCCTATTTTTGCTATAATCACTTGTTTTTACATGATTTAGCACTGAGTCCACAAGATTTTAAAAATCTTTTTCTTCTTTATTTTATTCATTCATTTATTTCATTCTTTTTTAAAAACATTTTTATTTAAAGTTTTGAGTTCCAAATTCTATCCCTCCCTCTCTCCTTCCCCTGTCACCTCTCTGAGGTGGTAAGCAATTAGATATAGGTTATACATGTGCAATTATGTAAGAGATTTCCATATTAGTCATTTTTACAAGATTTTGATGTTCTTTAATGACAGGATCACAGATCTAAAGTTATAAGGGATGTCAGAGGTCATCTAGTTTAATCTCTTTTTCTTTTTTTTTTTTAACCAAAGAAGAAAACTGAAACACAAGGAGGTGATAACCCAAGATCATATAAACAGTAAGCAACCAAAGTGGGATTTGAGCCCAGTTCTTCACGGCAAAGCCTCTTTTCCACTCTGTCAAGCTTGGATATGATACCATCTAAAAAACAACACTTTAATCATATTAGCTATCATGTACCTTTGACAAACAATAAAATTTTCCAACTCTGGCCTTGATTATATCCCAATGGTTTTTAGTAGATTTAAGTCAGGTAACTTCCCAGTCTACTGAAGTATGTTAATCCATATCTCTCAGATAAATTATTAAATTTCCTGACAAGTGATATGGTGCAAGGTTGTACTGCAGTATTTCATTTCCATTTTGGATTTCTTTGTGTACTTCTGGAACAGTTCTGCTTTTCAGGATATTTATCACCATTCATCATTTCCTCAATGGGGAAAAGGTTTCCAGGCTAACTGGAAGCAAAAATATCCCCTGAGTATTTTATTTTCTTTCAGTCTGACAAAGTTGTTCAGATCTTCTAGGCTCACCTTGATTTTCTCTAACATTGATTTCAGTAAAGCCTTGAATGAAAAAGTCAGTTTCATTAGTAAAAATAACCTTTTGCCATTCTTCATTACTCTAGTTTTTATATTGTCTTAACACATGACAAGCATTTTTTTCTTCACAGCAAGGATTAGTAAATTTTTTTCAACTGTTGTATTTAGTTTTGGACCAGACTTTAATTTGTGTTTTGATACAACTGATATTGTTTCTTTGTGGGCTTGAATAATCCTTGAATCACTTGACTTTCCCACACCTATATCTGCTACAATATTTTTAATAGTCATTGAGGTATGCTCTTTAAGAGCTACAGCTTTGCAGGTTTCCCTTAGCCACTCTTTTTTTTTCCTTTTTTTTTTGGCCAGACAATGGGGTGAAATGACTTGGCCAAAGTCACAGCTAGTAAGTGTCAAGTGTCTGAGGCCACATTTGAACTCAGGTCTTCCTGAATCCAGGGATAGTGCTCTATCTGCTGCGCCATCTAGCTGCCCCTCCCTTATCCATTCTTAAAAAATACAAAATTAAATTAAATTAGACTTAAAAACAACAAAAGAAAGAGAACAATAAAACATATTTATATGACATTAAATCAATCATTCATTTACAGAGACATAGCTAAAGATGGGGAAACTGGCTTACTCTGGTTCCATCTGGCCAAGGTCAGGAAGTCACAAACTACAATACTTTTGGTATGATGGAAAATCACCAAGACTCACCACAACACCCTCTAGATCCCTAGGGTGACCTGCCAATGTATGTAGAAATGTTGCTGATTTTTTGTAGCTTGAAAACTTACTGAAACAATTAGTTTCTCCATTGATCCTCTATGATTTTTAAAAATAAAATAATATTTCATAAGCTAAGAGGCATAGTTTTATCTATTCCTGGACTATCTTAACACCTTTTTTTTTCTATTATCTTATGGCTATTGCTAACATTTTTAGAATTGCGTCAAATAACAATGGGGTTAAGGCGGAATCCTTGCTTTACTACTATATTTTTTCTTTTTCTTTTTTTAAACAATTTTAAAAATTAATTTATTTTGATTTATCAACAATCACTTCCATAAGCTTCTGAGTTTTAAATTTTTCTCCCCCTCCCTTCCCACCTCCCTTCTCAAGATGGCATACAATCTGATATAGGCTATACATATACATTTCTATTAAACATTTTCACATTAGTGATATAAGAATTAGAACCAATAGGAGGAACCACCAGAAAGAGGAAATAAAACACAACAGAAGAAAAAAAAATAGCAAATAGTATGATTCGATCTGTATTCAAACTCCATAGTTCTTTCTTTGGATGTGGATAGCATTTTCCATCATGAGGCCTTTGGAGATGTCTTAAATCCTTGTGTTGCTGAGAAGGGTTAAGTCTATCACCATTAGTCATTGCACAACGCGGCTGTTACTGTGTACAATGTTCACTTTACTACTACTGTATTTTTTTTGTTTTGTTTTGGCTAGGCAATGGAGTTAAGTGACTTGCCCAGGGTCACACAGCTAGTAAATGTTATTTGTCTGAGGCCAGATCTGAACTCAGGTCCTCCTGAATCCAGGGCCAGTGCTCTATCCACTGCGCCACCTAGCTGCCCCATATTTTTTGAGAAAGGCTCAAGTGTTTCCCCAATTGTTTAAAATGTTAGCTTTTGGTTTTAGACAAATGTTTTTAATTATACACACAAATAGACACATACACACATATACATACACCCACATATATATTAAATCAGTATTTGCTTTTTTCTTACATCAGTATAATCACTATATCACCATAATTTCTACCAGAATCCTTCTCCTCTTTTCTCCCTGTTTTCTCATATCCATTCAAATCGTGCTCGATCTTTATATTTTGTTACATTCACTTATGCTTTTTGGTGTGTGGTTGTTTTTTTCTACCTATATTGTTGTGATTACTGTGTATATTATTTTCTAGGCTATGCCTACTTCACTCTGCATCAGTTTCATGTAGATTTTTCCATGCTTCTTTGTGCATACATCATTTCTTACAGACAGTAATATTCAATTAAATTCATGTGCTACAATTTATTAAGCCATTCACAATAATTCTAATTTCTAATTCTTTGCTATCACATAAAAAGTGTTGCTATAAATATTTTGGTGTATATGAGGGCTATCTTCTTATTGATAGTTTCTGTTGGACATAAAGCCAGGCCCGGAGTCTGGTTCAAAAGGTATGGGCATATTAATATTATTTAATTATTTAACATTTAATTAAATATGTATATATGTATGTGTGTATATATATATATATATGTGTGTGTGTGTGTGTGTGTGTGTGTGTGTGGTGTGTGTGGTTTATATATCTTATATACCAAACCCTGACCAAAGAAATTTGGTACAAAGATTTTTTTTCCAATTCAACCACTTTTCTTTTTATCCTAGGTACATTAATTTTGTCTATACAGAAGCCTTTAAGTGTCATGTAATTACTATTAACTATTTTATCTTTTGAAGTTGCATCTATCTCTTGCTTAGTTAGGAATATCTATTTTACCCATAACAGGTAAAGGCATATGTTTCTCTTATGGTTGTTTTAAAATATGATTTTTTATTATTAAGATCACATATCCATTTAGAATATATAGAAAGATACAGTGTAAGGTGTCGGTCTAAGATTAATTTCTGCCAGACTGCTCACCAATTTTCCCAGCAGTATCTACCAAAAAAGGAGGTTTTTTTTTTTAAAGTAATTTATGTTTTCCACTATATGAAATTCTGGGTTATTGAGTTCCATTATTTCTGATTCTCTCTCATCTAATCTGTTTCACTGATATGTCTTTCTATTTTTCAATCAATACCATGTAGTTTTGATGACTGCTGCTTTTTAATATAGTTAGATGCCTGGAGTGCTATTCCCCTTCATCTCTATTTCTTTTCATCATTTCCCTTGATATTCTACATCTTTTGTTTGTCCAAATGAATTTTGTTATTATTTTTTATTAAGTTCTAAGAAGTATTCTCTTGGTATATTGATTGGTATATCATTGAAAGTATAAATTACTTTTGGAAGCATTGTCATTTTAATCATTTCGGCATAGTCTCAACAATAACACTGAGTATTATTCCAGCTATTTAAGTTGTTCATGATTTCTTTCAGGACGATTTTGTCATTGAATCTATACAAGTTTTTTGTATGCTTTGGTAGGTCCATGCCAAGATAATTTATGTATTTTGTTATTTGGAATGATTTTCCTTTCTATTATGGCTTCTTGGATTTTGTTATTATTACCATATAAAATGTTGCTGATTTTTGAGGGTTTATTTTGTAAGATTCAACTATGTTGAAGCTATTCCCTATCTCAATTAGTATCTTTGCTGATTCCTTAGGATTTTCCAAGTATACCATCATATCATCAGCAAAGAGGGATAGTTTTATGTCCTCTTTACTTATCTCTATGTCTTTAATTTTTTTCTCTCATCTTATTGCTGTTGCTAGCATTTCTAGAACAACATCAAATAATAGCAGGGAGAATAAGTATCCTTGCCTCATTCCTGAATTTGTTGGGAAAGGTTCTAACACACTCTCATTGCATAGGATGTTTGCTTTTGGTTTTAGATACATGCTTGCTTTGATATATTTTTTGAAAAGATCCCTTTGTGCCTCTACTTTGCAGCATAAAAGAATACTGTACTTTGTCAAAGGCTTTTTCTGTATCTATTGAGATGATCATGTGGTTTTGGATGTTTTGGTTTTTAATATGACTATGGTGATTATTTTCCTAATGTTGAACCATCTTTGTATCCCATATTTAAATTTCACTTGGTATTTAAGTGACACAAAATTCCTAGGCAGCAGTCAGTGTCTATTATGTTTATTATGAGTTATAGTTTTTATTACACTTTTTATTTGAAAGATTATTAATAAAGGGCACCAAGATTAGGGCCATCTTGCAATTAATATCCATGAAACAGGATAGTAGAAAACAGTGCTAATTGCAAAATTCATATTTTCTGGTTTAGGAAATTGCTCTAAATAGATTAATTTTCCCTTTTCTTTTCCAACAAAAGAGTCTTTATCAGAAATTGTAAAATATCAATGTTTACTTAAAGAGTTTACACAAACTGAAGATGCAACTTAGGTTCAGTAATTGCCACCCAACTGAGTTTTAAGGTTAATAATACTGTTAGGTCATGAAATTGTATTTCATGATGAATATTGAGGGAGATGACTGCATATTAAAAAAACATAAGTGTATTCCCCAAGAAAAACAAGTAATTTCGGCATGTAAGCACAACTTTAAGATAGAAGTCATTTAAATGATTTGTCTAAGCTCTCCTTTAATTTCATATGTGCTTAAAAATTTTATTGTTCCAGTGCAATAGAAGTTAGAAAACACATTAGAGATAATGAGTGGAGTATAACATACAATTAATTGACAGAAAAGAAAACATGTAATTAAATATTTTTACAATTAAGAATCAACTAAATGCAATGAAAAAGCATGTGACTCCAATATAATCTATGTTTCTAGCTTTAATAATTCAAAGATAGATATGCTTACCTTTAATTATATTGGGTTTTGGTGGCATGCTGAACTCATATACTGTTGGTTCAGAGTATCCAAGTCTATTTGCAGCTGTAATTTGTACTTCATAACCCATGGTCCACTGTAAATGTTCCAAAACTATATGATCTTTATTACCCTGAACTTTTTTCTCAAGCCACTGGTCTTCCTTATCTTTCTGTCAAAATTAGAAAAAAAAATGCACTTTGAATACCCAATAGCTAATAACTTTTTTCAAATAGTAATTGTTGTGACATATGTAAAAAATGAGTTTATGAAGATTATTGTCTGCTTTATAAAAGTATGTTTGCAGATGCCTCTTTATCAATATTTTACTAAAAGAAGTAAATTCATCTTTATATATTAAGGTAATGTATGTGTGATAATGAAGGTTTGTGATAACAGCGGTATGCTTATAATAAGGCTTGTTGTTGTTTAATCACTTAGTCATGTCTGAATCTTCTTGACCCCGTGGAACATAATGACCGTAGGGTTTTCTTGGCAAAGACACTGGAGTAATAAGCCTAGAGTATATTCATACCTTTTCCTAGACACACCCAAATGCTCATACATATAATTATAACTTTCTCGATTAACCTTAAGAACTGAGTATTTTCTAAGCCAAAGCATATTATTTAACTAGTATTTTCAATTAAAACTTTTATTTTTCATATTTTATTTTCTATATCATCAGATCTTCATGTAAGGTTTACCTCAGTTTCATTTAGCTTTTACTATAACAATGACACACTCTATACATCTGAGCCTCTCTTCCTTGGGGGGCCAGTATTGAAATATAGTGCTATGCTTTTCAGTACAATGTCTGGAGAGCCCTCTCCTCATGTCTCAAAACAACTCCCAATAAAGGCATCATGATGATGTTTGAGCTGGTGGTCCAGCTTTCTGGGTCAGATCTAAACTAGGCCAGTCCAGTAATTTTAGGCTTGAGGGTAAAATGCAATAAATGGAACTCAAGGATCACAAACATAGTAAAAATCACTTTTACTAACAATTGATTAAAAGAAAATAAAAAGAAATAATTTAAAATGAAACACTATTCTCCTCTGTGTCTAGAATAAACATAGCAGACTGTCACTCACTCATATTAGGAAAATATTCCCTAGAGGGCAACAACTCAGGTGAAGTTTCTTGATATTCTTCTGTGCTAGGCTCCTTTTAAACCTTCCTGTGACCAAAGAGCCTCTCTGTCAGAAAAACAGCCCAACACTATGTCTGTGTGGGACTGTGAAGAAAGGGGTGGGGAGAGAAGCTTTGGCAATGTGTGTGGTGATGGTGGGAAAGGAGAACACGTGTGTATGTACACGTGCGCGCATGGCCCTAGCACAAAATACAGCTAGCTTTTAGGTAGCATGGATTTTAGTGGCTCTTTACTAGTAGATATGTCTTTACTAGTGCAGAGGAGTTATGCATACACACTATAACTTTCTTGGTTTTTGAAAGATGTTACTGGTCATTAAAAATAATTTTAAGATTTATGAGAAGTGTAGTTTTTACTTAGCTCTTACTTTGAATTAAATAGCAATATTTCTTGAGGCATTTTCACCACTTGTATAAAGTATGTGAAATTTATTTTTCTATTAATTTTAAATTAGTTGGAATATAGATATAAGGTATATACATATACATATATGTGTATGTGTGTGTGTATACATCTATATCTATCATGCCAGACACAAAGATAATGATTGTGATTAGACAATATTATTTATTTTTTCTGAGTAATTTTTCTTCTTTATAACATCTTTAAATTGTCCATTCATGGTAAGAAAAATTTCCTCACACCAAAGGCCTTCATAAATATTTTATTTTATATTTTTGGCTAGGCAATGGGGTTAAGTGACTTGCTCAGGGTCACACAATTAGGAAATGTCAAACGTCTGAACCCGGATTTGAACTCAGGTCCTCCTGACTCCAGGGCTGGTATTCTAGCTGCCCAATATTTTAAAAAGTTAATTTAGCCAAACCTGACTTTAGAAACATTCATACTAAAGTTATTCTTTACTTTCAATCTACAAGCACTTAAACACTCACAATTATGCCATTCACAGGTAGCATCCTTTGGAGGCAGATTTACAAGCAGAGCAAGTCTCCAAAGACTGACCAGGACATGGAACTCTGGAGGGCAATGTAATGTAGGGCAGTGGTTCTCAAAGTGTGGTCTGGGGCCTCCTGATAGTCCCTGAGATCCTTTCATGAGGTCCACAAGGTCAAAACTATTTTCATAATAATACTAAGATGACTTGATCTGTAATAAGGTAAATTTTGATACTATAACCTACATAAACAGAAGGTCTTTGGGGGAGTCCCCAATAATTTTTAAGAGTGCAAAGCCAAGTTTAGATAATTTTATCAGACTCAATCATTAGTTTATATTACTTTGGCTTAAAGTTTAAATTTATTTCCCCTCCTTTCTTTCTCAGTTTTTTAGGCAATTGGGGTTAAGTGACTTGCCCAGGGTCATACAGGCAGTAAGTATCAAGTGTTTGGTCTGAGGCCGCATTTGAACTCAGGTCCTCCTGACTTCAGGGCTGGTGCTCTATGCACTGTGCCACCTAGCTGCCTCCTCTTCTTTCTTTTTAAGGCTCTTCTCTGCTTAGTGTGACAACATAACAGTTCTATCCTGGATCAGATCATGGTCTATCTGGTCTTCTGGTATTGACAATAAAAACAGAGTTTGAAAGTATGTTGCTACTTATGATATCTTGTCAAAAAGTTAGAGATCTACCATTTCAGACTCACTAGCTTCACAGAATTTTAGAGCCCTGAGATATTTAACCCACATTTTTTATTTTCTGATCAGGAAGTTGAGTGCCCAAGAGGTGAACAGAATTGCCCAAGGTGTTAGAGTAAGTTAACGGCAGAGCTGAGACTCACACTTCGTTCTTCTGGTACCTCACTTAGTGTTCTTTATGGCCAAATAGCTTAGTTTCTTTAACAATTTTTTTCTCTTTTGCTCTGTTTTTACCATCTGGACTTGATGGCCTCTAAGATCCAAATGAGGAAACCAAGACCCTGAGAGGTCAGTTGACTGGTCCAATGTCACTCAGAAATGGACAATATGAAGTTAACAGTCAACCATACACAAACTTCGGAAATCTCAGTAGAAGCATCTGGATGACTTGGCTAGTGACCAGACTGATGCATCAGGACAAATAGGTGAGTTGGTTACTCACATCAGCAGATAATTATGTTATTTCATTGATGAAATATATGTAATATGTATTGTATGCCATTTGTTTTATTTTATTTTATTCTTAATTTATGAAATAAAACAAACATTTCCATAACAGTATAATGAAAAGATGATTGCACATGAAACTTCAAATCTATTATGTATAATTTTCTATTCTTTAAAAAATAATAAAGTTATGATGTAAATTTCTTTTTTTCCCCTTTTTTTGGTTGTTATTTTTCCTTTTGGTAATCTAGATCTACAATGTTCTTTTTATACTACTTAGTAAATTCTTTGGTTTACCTATCTCCACAGCTTTAGTTCCTGAATTGAGACTTTTTTACCAGGGTTAAACTCTGCCTCCTGTATTTCTGGTTGGGGGTGCTTAGTCCCGCTTGATCATGCCCTGGGTTCCTGTGCTGACCTTCTTGGGGTTAGGCTCCCTGGAATCTTTGGGCTTCAAAGTGCCCTCAGGACAGGGTGGTAAGGAGTTCAGATCCCCTGGCCTGTCCTGGTATGAATGCTGCTGTGTCTGTACCTATTTTAAGATCAACAAAGTATTACTACATAATAGTTCTCCTATGCAGCTCCAAGGTCCACACTCTTAAGCCACCTGATCTTCCTGTGGACTTTTCAGAGAAGCCCTTCATTCTTGATGCTTCAGGACACAAAGCCCTCCTAAGCTACATGCGTTACCAATCCCACTAGGAAGTTACTGGTTTATTTCTTTTCCTGGCATTAAGTTGGATGTTGGTTGCTTTCTATTGCCTGTGGACTTCTGGCTAACTATTTGTGAAGTTCTGGGGTGAAAAAAATTTATTGTAGTTTCTCATTGGATTTAGTCATTATTCAGTCTGGTGTAAAATTCAGATTTTTACTGATATATGTTTATATCTATAGGGAATAGGGAGTTTGCCTCTGTTTAGGCAGCTTTCTTGGCCAAAAACTCCCATTATTACTATCTGATAACTAGTAGTAGGCAATAAGTGGTTGAGTGCATTGTCTTTTGGGGCCTCTGACCATTCTCTGGGGCTATTTTTTATGCTATCAAGTTGCCCAGGCTATGACTTGGTAGGATATGGATTTCTATCAGTCTGTATTTTGTATGGTCCCTGTTCACATTTTGTGTGATTCCCCAGCAGAGCTCTACCACCTATATGTAGAAATTAATAAAGGATTTGGGCATTGTATAGCAACTTGTTTCTGTTAGAACTGTTCTGAGCTGAGGTCATGCTAACAATGCTAACTTCCTTTAGTTTATTTAATAACTGAGACACATACTCATTATGAGTTTCTCAATCTTTTCTATTTCCTTCAATTCCAAAGCAAAAGTAAACAGACACATATGGCTCTCTCCTAAACTGTAGGATGTGTGGATAAAGGCTTTGGAATCATTTTTGTTAATATTGCATGTATTTATGTACTAGAAATTCCACATGCTGACTCCACTGAGATTTTTGTTTTGGGGCCTCAGGATCCCTAACCATATTTAACAAGGTATGGTTGGGACATTCAGGCTATGGGTCTCCCTGAGAGTGCTGAGGTATATTTTTAGACTTTGATTTCTGCCAAAGACAACGTCTGTCAGTCAGTCAGTCAGTAAACATGTACCAAGTGCCCGCTATCTGCCAGGCACTGTGCTAAGTGCAGGGTATATAAAAAAGGGCACAAGACAGTCCTTGCCCTCAAGAAGCTCACAATATAACATCTTCCCAAGATTGTACTTTGCTTATAAAGTCTCTAACTTGGTGAGAATGAATTCTGGCTGGGAATTGAAATAATAACTACTTTCTCCCAGATCACCTTAGGAACTGTAGTAGCTCCCTGGTTCCCTGTTAGAACCTGTGCATACTGGGAGAAATGGTCTGTCACCAGTATGACATGACTTATGTTCTAACAGTCTCTTTCCAGAGAAGAAAGTCAATGCATATAAGGTCCAATGGTTTCTGGTACTTACTCTCAAAGTATGCAGCATAAGTTGTTAG